ATTTTAAGTTCCCTTTGCTTTCAGCAAGCAAGGTTGTATCATCTGCACATCACAAGTTGTTAATGAATCTTCCTCCAATCCTGATGCCATGTTTTCCTTTACATACTCTAGCTTCTCAGCATACAGACTGAATAAGTATGGCGAAAGAATACAACCCTCATGCACACCTTTCCTAATTTTAAACCATTTGGTTTGCCCTATTCCAGTTCAAATGACTGCCTTTTGGTCTAGGTACAGGTTCCTTATGAGCACAATGTCAATGTTCTGGAATATTCATTCTCTGTAATCAAAGCCTTTATGTAGTCAATAAGCACAGGTAAACAACTTTCTGGTATTCTCTGCTTTTTGCCAAAATCCATCTGACATCAGCAATGATATCTCTCATTCTATGTCCTCTTCTAAATCCACCTTGAGCCACTAGAAGGTCTCTGTCAATGTATGGTTGCATCCATTTTTGTATTCTCTTTAGCAAAATTTTACTTGTGTGTGATAGTAATGGTAATGGCTGATGATTTCCACATTCCCTTGGGTCACTTCTCTTTGGAATAGGCACAAATATGGATCTCTTCCAGTCAGTTGGCCAGGTAGTTGTCTTCCAAGTTTCTTGGCAGAGATGAATGAGTGCCTTCATATGATTTAACAATTCCATTCCTAGATTTACTATGGTTGGTTGATTGGTTGGTTGCTTGTGTACCGTGGGGTTGGTTTTGACTCATAGGGAGCCTGTATAGGGTTTCAGAGGCTGTAAATCTTTACAGAAGCAGAAAGCCTCATCTCTCTCCCACAGAACAGCTGGTAGTTTCAAACTGCTGACCTTGAGGTTAGCTGCCCAACTTGCAACCACTATGCTACCAGGAGAAGTACTATGTGATCCAGCAATTCCACTCCTAGATATATACTCAAAAGGCTTGAAAATAGAGACTCAAAAATGAAATGTGTACACTAATGTTCATTGTGGCACCATTTGTGATAGCCAAAAGGTATTAGCAACCCAAGTGTTTATCTGCAGATGAATGAATAAACAAAATGGGATATTATTCAGTCATAAAGTATAAAGCTCTGATATATGCTGCAACATGGATGAACCTTGAAAACATTATGTTCAGTAAAAGAACCCAGACACAAAAGGCCACATATTGTATAATTCCATTTATAAGAAATATCTACTATAGGTAAATCTATAAAATCAGAATATTGATTAGTGGTTTCAAGGGCTGAAAGAAGGCGAGGACAGAGACTGACAGGGACTTTCTTTCTGGGGTGATGAAAATGTTCTGGAGTTAGATCGTGGTGATGGTTGCACATCTCTGTGAAGATGCAAGAACCACTGGATTACATACTTTAAAAGGGTGAAGTATACCATATCTGAATAGCATCTTAGTTAGAAACTAAAATAACTTCAACAGTAACTGGAGCCATTGTGTGGAACTTGGACTAACGGAAAATTTCTAAGAGTAATATTTTGCCACAGACTTTATTTAGTGTTGCTGCTGTACAGTGATACTAAATAGGCAACCGATTTTTAAACAATTACATTGAAACACGTTAATCACCCTTGTTGTGTAAGAATTGCCTGGTTTACAGGCAAGTTTGGGTGTGGGACAGTGCCGGTAAAAGTCAGCACTCAGTCATCGGCTGGCTTTCCACTGGGGCGTTGATCTCCAGTACCTCCCACAGAGAGGGAGCAATGACAATAAAGGAGACTTGCAATGAAATTGACTCTGTTTTGGTTAGCAACCTGGCAGAAGTATTATATGGAAGGGATGTTGTTGTTGCTAAGTGCAGTAGAGTTGATTCAGACTCATACTGACCTTGTATAGGATTTCTGAGGAGCAGCTGGTAGATTTGAACTGCTGACCTTGTGGTTTGCAATCCAGTGCTGATCAGGAATTCTAGGCTAACGTATAATTTCTTGATTTGTGTGTATGTGATTATATGTGTGTGATCAATACTCACCTTGCGCTTTTTAAAATGGTGGTAAACACAAATTTTCTGTGCTCAATACTAGCGTGGGAAAGACATTAAAATTAGAATCTTTTACTTGAGCATTGTGGTTATTTTGAATTCTGTTGTAAAAAAGCATGTGGGAGGATTGTTACCTTTGATCTGAGCACCTTTAAACCCCAGCAGCATCGCTCTTACTTTCTCAACATGGGAACTAGTTTTCTTCTCTCCTGGCACAAGTTTGGGTTTAAAAAAATGAAGAAAGACTGGTAATTTTTTTCTCTGATAAGTGATGTGTCAAAGAAGTGGAATGAAGAGAATGCTAGGGGGTTTCCAAAAGTTTGTGGAAATTTTTCATTTTATTTTAATTCCATTTTTCCATGAATAAAGAGGACTTACACTACTTAATGATGAAGACCAAAGAATAGAGCCTTCAGTATGGGTTTCCCCTTACTGTAAAGAAAACAAAACTCCTCACAAATGGACAAATAAATAACATCATGATAAACAGAGAAAATATTGAAGCTGCCAAGGACTTCAATTTTCTTGGATCCACAATCAACACCATAATCAACACCAGCAGTCAAGAAATCAAATGCTATATTGTATTAGGCAAATCGGTTGCACAAGACCTCATTAAAATATTCAAGAGCAGGGATGTCATTTTGTGTACTAAAGTAGACTTGATGCATTTGTGTTATGGTGTTGGAGAAAAATGTTAAAATCCTATGAACTGGCAGTTGTGTCTGGGAAGGAGAGAAAATGGTGGCGGAGCCAAGCAAGACCAAAATTTAGACTCTTTTTAAGAGGCTTCACGCGATTCCAACCAAGAAGGCCTGCTTCGATTGTGGTGCCAAGAATCCTAGTTGAGCCAGCATCACATTCGGTGTTTTCTTGTGTATTGACTGCTCCGGGTTTCGCCGCTCACTGGGTGGCCATCTCAGCTTCATCAGGGTCACAGAGTTGGATTTCAACTGAGATTGGTTCCAGATGAGGTGTATGCAGGTTGGCGGGAATGCCAATGCGACTGCTTTCTTCCACCAACATGGGTGCACAGCCAATGATGCCAACACCAAGTACAACAGCCGAGCCGCCCAAATGTACCTGGAGAAGATCCGGCAGATGGGGAGCACGGCCCTGGCTAGGCATGGTACTGATCTTTGGATAGACCATCTGAGTAGTGCACCCAGTCATCCCCAGAGAAGAAGGACTCGGATTTCTTCCCAGAACACACCCAACCCCCTGCCTGGAATGCCCAGGTACCTCCAGCAGCCAACCCCGCCTTCAGAGGGCAGTGGTCTGACATAGCCAGAGCACAGGGCCCCAGCACACCTGTTGACCAGCTCACCAAAAGCCTCTATGGAACTGAAAACCTCCATCATTGGCAAGAAGAAGCCAGCAGCAGCTAAGAAAGGGCTGGGTGCCAAGGAAGGCCTTGGGGCCCAGAAGGTGAGCAGTCAGAGCTTCAGTGAGATTGAGTGGCAGACGCAGGTGGCAGAGAAACTCTGGGAGCAGCAAGTGGCTGATGCCAAGAAGCAGGCTGAGGAGTCCATGGTTGCCTCCATGCGTGTCACCTACCAGGAACTCCAGATTGATCATAAAACAGAGAAGAAGCTACAGAATCTGGAAGGGAAGAAGCAAAGCAGGCAGAGAGGCTGGGCATGGGGTTGGTGTCCCAAAGCTCTGGCTCCAACTCAGTGCTGGCTGACATGCAGGTGATGGAGCGGGAAACCCCAGTGAGTACAAAATCCTCCTGCTCACAGCTGGACTTGTTTGATGATGTTGGTACTTTCGCCTGTGAACCCCCAAAATACAAGGACAACCCTACCTCCTTGGGGGACAGTTTTGGTCCCTGCTGGGACACAAATGCCACCTGGGGAATGGACAGGGTGGAAGAGAAGGAGCCAGAAGTGACCATCTCAAGCATCCGGCCCATTTTAGAAAGAATTACAAACGTGAAGGAAGTGGAGAGCCGGAGCGCAGGCCTGGAGTCCAGTGAAGTGCAGCAGAAATTTGCAGGAGCCAAAGCCATTTCATTGGACATGTTCTTTGGGCAGGAAATGGATTCCGAGTACGAAGCCAGGTCTTGGGCAGCAGTGCCATCAGCTCTTCAGACCTCTTTGGGGGAGGTGGATGGAGCTCATAGAGCAGGTAGTGTATCTCTGGGGACGGTGCTCCCTACAGTCGACATTGCCCAGTGTAAGCAGGGCGTCAAGTCTGTGGCTGGGAAGATGGCTGTGCTGGCCAATGGTGTGATGAATTCTTTGCAGGATCACTATTGTTTCTACTGGCGGCAGCACCATGGCTCAGGCATATGGTGGTGAAGCTGGAAGCCCGGGGTGCTCAGGCCAGGGGGAGGCTGAGGGGATTTGTTACTTTCTGTCTGTGTGTGAGCGGGGTGACCTCAGAGGATCTCGGGCTAGGGCAATGGTCAGTACCAGCCTTGCCCTCTGCCTGTGGCTTGAGCCCCTTGTTCTCCTCCCCTCATGGCCCCTGCCTGTGTGCTACATTAGTGCCCATCCGTCCTGCCCTGAGGCTGCCGCTCCATCTCTGGCCCCACTGGGAGTCCGGGAGAGAGCACCCTAAAGATGCCTAGTTCTGGGTCCAGCTCCTCCCCTGTGGAAAGTGTAAGGCTTTTTGCTGGCTTTAAAAGGACCTTTCTGGGTAGTCTGGGGGCTTGGGGACTTGGGCCTCAGTTCTCTGGGACAGTGGGGGAGGATGAGAAAGTTCTACTGAGGACTGACCCTTGGAAGAGAGGTTCTCTCAGGACTTGCCGCTGTGGCCAATGGCCTCTGGGTGCTAGGAGAAGAGGGGAGGGGAGGGCCTTGGGCTGGGTCTTCCTAAGTGCTAGAACCTTTACCTGGTACCTAAAGGTTTCATCTGGGATCAGACTGGAGGCCCAAACATCTCTCCCATCTCATCACCCCAGGTCACCAGTCCCCACTCGGATGCTTGGGGAGGGTTACTTCTGACTGTCATGGAGTTCTCCCATGCCATTTGCTCTATCCTCTCCTGAGCTATGTCTCTGTCCCTTGGTCCCCTGGCTGGTGGCCACCATGTACTTTACCAGCCTCTACCCTGCTCTGGATACAGCAAGCCTGTTGACGGAAAGCCGAGCCATGCAGGGCAGAAGCAGGCCCCTGGGCTCCCCTCTGCTCTGTCAGGGCCCACAGGCCAGGGCTGTACAGCGGGTCACCAGTCCCATGGTGCAATCTCTCCTGTCATGCTGGCAAGCTGGGCCCAACCTGCCTGTGAGTTGGGGGCTGGGCACCTAAGCAATTCAGACCACTGCTCTCCCCTCTACCTCCCCAAAAGGGACATGACTGACTTTCTGGACTGCAACAAAGTGGTGTCGAAATAAAGCTCCACAGGCGCTGGGCCCCTGCCAATCTGAAAAGAAAAGAAAAAAATTCCATGGACTACCAGAAGAACAAACAAATCTGTGTTGGATGAAGTGCAGCCAGAATGCTCCTTAGAAGCCAGGAGGGCAAGACTTGGTCTCTCAGACTTTGGACAGATTGTTAGGAGGGACTAGTCCCTGGAGAAGGATGTTATGCCTGGTCAAGTGGAGGTCAGTAAAAAAGAACACCTCCAACGAGATGCATTGGCACAGTGGCAGCAGCAACGGACTCAAGCGAAAACCAATGTGAAGAGAGTGCCGGACCAGGCAGTGTTTCCTTCTGTTGTGCATAGGGTCACTGTGAATCAGGATAGACTCGATGGCACCGAAAAATGGCAATGTGAACTTTACATTTGATTGTGGTTTGGGTGAAAACTTACAGTAAGTTTCCCATTCAACAATTAATGCACATGTTGTTTCAAGACATTAGTTCCAATCTCCTGAGTGTAACAGCACTCTTCCCACTTTCCGCTGGGACTCCCAATTTCCAGTCATCCTTTTCTCCTGACCCTTCCTGTGTTCTAAGCTTTGTTTTTAGACAAAGGCTATTCTTTTGGTCTCCTATGGTTGATTGTTCTGGAGAATAAATCCCTCATGGGTGATATTGTTCATTATTGTTTAGTTGGAACAGTGATCTCTGGGAGTGAGTTCATTTCCATGTTTGAAGGATATCTTAATGGCCAAAGTCTTGGGGGTTCTACCAGTCTCTATCAGACTAGTAAGTATGGTCTGATTACAATCCCCGCCATATATCATCATTTAACAGCATTTGCTTCCATTCCCTCTGTTTGTTTGTTTTTTAATGTACACCAAAGCACTCAGGAATATACAGCCATTTAAACAACCAAAGGGCACACCCTGCAAGCCCGCCCCCTGGCCTTCAGCACACAGCCTCTCTCCCTCCCTGAGTCCAGGGTCCCTAGCCTCCCTATTTCTCCACGTCATCGTCTCTGCCTCCATCTCTGGTGTCACTGCTTCTCTGGATAGGGTCCCGCACTCCACTCTTCTCCTTTGGTGGTCCCAGGATCCTCCTTTCCTGGACTGCAACACCAACCACTCACTTCCTTTTGTTACAAAACATCTACCTTTACATTTGCAATACTCACAGTCAGTCCTGATAGCAATTATTCACTATTGAACCACAAGAGTCTTATCCCCATCTCCTTTCACCATCCCCGTCCAGATAGGTTGGAACCCACTCAGTGGAGATTCTACCTTCCCCCATACCCTCTGAAACTAGGCTCCCTCTTGAAAGCTTGTAAGCCTGTCACTTCTTGCCTTTGTAGC